CACTTTCTTGGCTTTCGCCCGTCATTCATGCATGAAGCGAGAGCTGGCCTGGATGCACAGATTCACCAGAGTTTGTCGGTCGACCTATGCACCAACCCCGATAAGAACATCGCTGGGAACGTGCGGTTCCTTCTGGGTCATCCAGCTTTGTTCGATCGCAATGCCAAGTGCAGAACTTAACGTTCTTCCTCAGTTCCATGACACAGTCCTCCTCTTAGCTGCAGGGTAAGTCAATTTTTCTTTTCATTCTTTGTGCTCTTTAGGGGGAAATAGTATTGGCTAGCCCCGGGATGTAGACAACATACAATGAAAATAAATATCAAACGCTAAATAATTGATGAAATGATGATATGGGTCGTGCGTTGCCAGACGAAAGCATAACCACATTCCTCTAGAGTGTTGCAAACACCAAACGTCCAACACTAGTACCTGATGCTTGACATAAAAGAGCGTATCCGTGAACTTCGTTAAAGGCTGTCAGCTGCATGACCCGTACGTTCTTTCAGAGTCGACTTGATACCGTTTAGGAAAACCTCCAGTTGTACTGGGGATTATTTCCCTAGTTCTGCCCGTGCTGCAAGGTTACTAGCAGTTTGGGGAATATTCAATGTTTGTGCAAAATCTTAGATGTACTGATTCAATGAAAGACTCCCATATTTCAGACCCAGCATGGGTTTAGAATTTATTCTCTTTGAACGTGAACTTGTATGTATTAAAGCACTTTGTTGTTGTCCCTGCTTTACGTCAATTTTTTCCGCTAGACGTGGACTCTTGGTGTCATTCTTTGCTTGGCGTTTGGCTTGTTGAAGCCACTCTTATACTTGTGCTTTGCACATGTGTGTTTGGAAATGTCATTTACTCATCTCTCTCCTCAAACCTTGCCTAACCTCTATGTTATCCTAGAACGCTCTGTACAGCATACTGATCATATCTGCTCGTAGGTCTCGTCGCATCACAGCTAATGTGGCTTTGCTTCTTTGGTTACTACGTATGATTCATGGATGCTGGTGACCTCATTTAAGAGCGCAGTAATTAATATGGTGGTTTGCGGTTTCTTTTACTCCTTTACAGTTTTCTTTTGCTTGTTTCTTTATATCTTTGAGTGCCTGTTGTCTTAGTCACACTGTGTCGGACTGGGTGTTTTGCTTTGTCTGCAGACAGCACTTTGCCTGGCAATATTGTCTGGGTAGAAATCCATTTTTTTATTAATTCTTTAACTGACCCCGCCTTTTATGACGTATTGTTGGCCACTGAGTAATTATG